TGCAACCTGTTTTCCGTTGCGGAGATTGGAAGATAATGATATGACAGTCAAGATCGTCAGCGGAAAGGTGACTATAGAAAAGGACGGTCGTATTGTCTGTACTGGTCGGTGATTGGGTCAATTGTATGCGTTAGATATTTTTGTCCGAGACGGAAGTGAGGCAGGATGCGCAAGGGCGATGGTGTTCAAAAGCGATGGGTTCGATTTGTGGCATAGAAGGTATGGTCATCTTGGCGCAGGTAATCTGAAGAGTCTGTGGAAGAATGCGATGGTTGAAACTTCTTCGAAAATTCATGACTGGCCAAATAGTTGTATCTGCGAAATATGTTTGGCTGGGAAGCAGACTAGGCAAGCATTTGAAGAATCGACGGAACGACGTTCAAGCCGACTGCTAGAATTGGTCCACTCGGATGTGTGCGGACCATTCACTCCGACTACCTGTAACGGAAAGCGATATTATGTAACGTTCATCGATGATTTTAGCCACTTCACCGTAATCTATTTGTTGGAGTCAAAGGACGAAGTTCAAAAGATGTTCGAGCGTTACCATGCCCAGGTGACAGCATTCTTCGGCGTGAAAATAGCTAGGCTCAGGTGCGATAACGGAGGAGAATACAGCAGCAATCGTTTCGAAGTTTCTGTCGTGCTGAAGGAGTTCAACTGGAATTCACGGTGCCGTACAGTCCACAACAAAATGGAGTATCAGAAAGGATGAATAGAACACTGTCGGAGAAGGCCCGGTCGATGCTGCAAGATGCTGAATTGTCTAAATCAATGTGGGGCGAAGCTGTGCAGACTTCTGCATATGAGTTGAACCGAAGTCCGACGTCTGCTCTTCTAGAAAAGAAAACTCCATATGAAATCTGGTATGGCAAGAAACCAAACGTGGACAAGATGCGCGTTTTTGGATCGATTGCGTATACGTGGATACCCAAAGAAAAACGTGACAAGCTGGACTCTAAAACCTCGAAGAATGTGATCGTAGGATATACAACGAATGGATATCGCATTTGGGACCCTAGAACGAGGAAGATATTCACGTCTCGTGATGTTGTGTTCGACGAGCGACAAGTCGATGAAGCTACAGTGAAGTCGATGCCGATGCCATTTGGAGATAATGATTGCCGAGAGGAACATCTAGAAACAGAAGACGTTCAAGACGAGATGGAAGAACCAACCGCAGACGTTCAAGTGATTGACGAGCTGGAGGAACCAATCGACGTTCAAGTTGTTGACGAGGAGGAGGAACCAACCGGCGCGCTCCCTTCGCAACCAGAACGTGACAACTGCTCGGCAGAAGTGCTCACGAGGCATAGCGGACGGGAGCGCAGAATTCCCGGTAAGTTCCTTGATTTCATTACCAGCTTTGGGACGAGTTCTGCCGATCAAAGTTTTGCAGGTGCTACCGAGACCATTGATGATTCCGTGATGGCGTATGCACTTAGTGCAGAGGCGTACGTGGACAACCTACCTTCGACAATAGCTGGACTGAAGGAGCGAAGCGACTGGTCGGACTGGAAAGATGCCATAGACAGCGAGCTTGACTCATTGCGGAAGAACGTAACATGGGAGCTAGTGCCGAAACCACCAGGCAAGAATATCATCGACAGCAAGTGGGTTTTCAAAGTCAAACGTGATGAAGCTGGAAACGTGGATCGATTCAAGGCACGCCTCGTAGCGAAGGGCTATTCTCAAAGGAAAGGATTCGACTATAATGAAACATATGCTCCTGTGGCGAAGATTACTACTGTTCGGGTGTTGCTTGCAGTGGCGAATCAGGCGCAGTACCATGTGCACCAGATGGATGTGAAGACGGCATTCCTGAACGGCCTGCTGAAGGAAGACATCTATATGCGTCAACCTGAAGGACTGCAGAGCGACAATCCTCAACTAGTATGCCATTTGAAGAAGTCGTTATACGGGTTAAAGCAAGCTCCGAGGAGTTGGAACGAACAGTTCAATTCGTATGTACTGAAGCTCGGATTTCGACGATCAAACTTGGATAGCTGTTTGTATTGGAAGCGACAAGAAAAGACTGTAATGTACATACTATTGTACGTGGATGACATCATCATTGTCTCGAACTCACTGGATTCTGTAGCAGAAATCAAAACGATGTTGACCAAGAATTTCGAAATGACGGACATGGGTGAACTGAAACACTATCTGGGGTTGAAGGTCGAACGAAATTTCAAGACTGGAAGAATGAAGATCAGCCAACCGAAATACATTGCAGACATGTTGAGAAGATTTGGTATGGAGGATTGTAACCCCGTTAGTACCCCAATGGACCCGAATTTGAAGCTGGACACCAACAAGGATGACAACCCAACAACACACCCGTATCGCGAATTGATTGGATGTCTGACCTACTTGACGATATTATCAAGGCCGGACATAAGCGCAGCTGTAAGTTATTTCAGCAGATTTCAAGCTTTCCCTACTGACACCCATTGGAACCACCTGAAACGACTGCTGCGCTAATTGAAAGGGACGATCAATTTTGGTTTAGTCTATCAGCGACGAGAAGATGCGATTCCTTTGAAGGGTTATGCCGATGCCGACTGGGGCAATGATCGAGAGGACAGAAAATCAATTTCCGGGAACGTTTTCCAAGTTTATGGTGCGACGGTATCCTGGAATACAAAGAAGCAAGCAACTGTAGCCCTGTCGTCAACAGAAGCGGAATATGTTTCCCTTAGTCAAGCGATGTGTGAAGCAATATGACTGCGTAACTTGCTGTGCGAATTTGGTTCTATGTTCGAGCATCCCATACCAATATTTGAAGATAATCAATCTTGCATTCGAATAGCTGAGGAGCCCCGAGACCATAGACATATGAAGCACATAGATATTCGATACAACTTCATGCGCGAGAAGATTCAAGAAGGTGCTTTCAAGATAATGTACGTACCGACCAATGAGCAAGCAGCTGATATATTCACGAAGGCCTTGCCAAGAGAACCGTTCACATTTCTTCGAGAAAAGCTGGGATTGTTCGGTTGAGCGGGGATGTTGAGTAGCAACCGATCAACTCTGTCCAAACAACAAGCATGTAGCAACCCATGAAGATTCATGTCACTAATTTATTCATTCCTTCACAAACCTTCGTTCAATAAAGAAGTTCTTTTCCAATTGCTCTGCCTAGTTTATTACAAAATAGAGTACCTGACACTACGAAACATGTCTGGTACCTCTATATATGCATTTGCTTTAACATTTGAAGTCCCTCGTTTTTTACATATTCTGCGCAAAAGATACTTTATGCCCCGCCCCATACATAAAATTCGGCGGGAAATTATGTGAGGGGTGAGCTATTTTGTGTGCATATATAGAGGTACCAGACATGTTTTGCACTGCAGTGCCCTCTGTGAACAATTATAGGAAAACAGATTTTGTCTAGTTTCCGATAGATGTCACCGCAAACGACAGCTGTGACATCTGATGGAACATGAATGCAGAAGCTTGATAAAATGATTAATTGTTGCAAGACGGTGATGTACATCTGATGAATTTTGCTACCTGTTTCCTTTTTTATTCCCGATCAACTCTGCGATGGCGGCCTCGACTAATCCAAGGACAACTCCATGCCATACGACGAGGTTATTTTTTTTTTCATGATGAAGACCATAGTATTATTATTATTATTCGATGTTTATTTTTATAATTGATGTATTTTTCTGTCCTTTTTATATTGTTCCTTGTATTTTGAAAAGATATGGAGTTTTTACGCCTATTTGCGCAAATATTTGCCAAATAGGCTTTTCCCCATCAATCTTCATGTAGACAACAAAAATCCGATGAAGAGAATAATAAATAAATAAACGAGCTTGCATTTAACTCCCAACAAATCTGCTACACCGTTGAAGAATAAGAAAAGTGGACCCAGGTTAAGATCATTGGACTGAATAGTCATCAGCTCGACTGGTTTCTTGCTAACCGAGATTAAATGACATTTTGACAAGCTTCCGACAGTTGTTTGTAAAATTATCAAAAGTAGATTTTGCCAGACAATTCGGACTTGGAAATCTTTTTCCTGGGACCTCGGCCTAACGTCAATTTTTGCCCTACTGCGTAGAAATCATCAAATATATCTATACTTTCGTACAATGCCCACACACAGACAAGTTCATTACATAGCTCCCAATAATCAACCTCTAATGTTTTATTAACATTTCAAATAAATGCATCACTTGTTGATTTCTTAAATAAACATTAAATTTGATATTTGCTTAACTACGTCACATATGGTGCCTTCACGGTACGTCCATTCTTCTTCAAAACAAAAGAAGCGCTTCTAGCGAAACCGTTTTTTTCTGCCTTCATCCGTTTGGGCGTAATTTAAATTAGATCTAAAACCCTATAGCTCCTACCAGCTACTTCGCTGAAGACTCCAGTTAAGAATTTCATTTATCAACAAATTTTGAATTCTTGAACTCTGTCTTCTAAACGACATCACACCTACTTGCGAGTAGTGGTAAAATAATATGTCAGACTGTAGTGCTTCACCACAATACCCGAAGATTTATCGCTGTTAATAGCCCCCTCGCCTGTTGCTAATTCTTCTTTCACATTGTAGATAGTTACCTAGATGGGTCTTATCAGCGATAGCAGTAATAAATTGTACATAGAAAACCCGAAAGCTCTACCTGCCCAACCTCTATAAATCCCCCACCACCTCACTCACAATCGGCAGGTGGCATAACACGAACGAATGCCGGTGATTAATCATTTTTCGTGACCACCACCAGCGTCTGTATGACAGGGTTTTGGGAGTGAGATCGTCAACAAAAAAATAATGGTTCTAAATGGCTTCCTAGCATAAATCGTCACGTTTCAAGACATTGACCCCATTCGACCCCGCTGCTCCGTACCCTGTAGCTAACTCCCCGTGAAGCACACCGCTCAAGTGCTTCTACCGACCGTGACAAACAAGACTCCCTTTGAAGTAGGCACTCCGAGGTGCGACGAGCCGTTATCGTGGACCATAATCCGCTTACCTCTTTAATCTGCGGGTACTTTTTCTTCGTCTCCAGCGAAAGGTTGCGGAAATCATTCTGCAGCACTTCCAGAAACTTTTGAGCCGCCTCGGTGTCGGTCGTTCCGCTGACGAAGGACATCCTTCTCGAGCTTTGCGGTTTGTATCCTCTATCTGCTTATGGTTTCTCACTTCTTCTCCAGCGAATTCACCGAGCCACAATCGAAGATGAATCGAACGACCTTACGTAAGATTATGACCTTTTTCTTTATTGCGGACAACTTGCGCCCCTTTCTTGTGTATCTTCTTCTATCAGTGCTTCACACGACGGAAAAACTACTCTTCCAAGAATCACTACTGCTCACATCGACTCAACTTTGTTTTCCTTCAAGTCGTGCCACTAAACTGCTTCGCATTCCGCTGATCTCTGCCTCACGACCGAATGCGATGCCTTTAGAGAACCTCCAGCGATTTTCTACCAAGCCAATATTGACACGTAAGTGCAAAACAACATTACAAACACTGACCGCTGCTGCTGCTGCAACTCAAGAACGTAGGTAGATGACAAACTAATTATTGCACCACCAACAGAGAACTCACGGAGGGAAAAACAGTCGCCCCACAACACTCCGTCTCTTCCGACCGCCCCGTTATCAATGATCTTTCACGCAGTAACTTTTCTTCTTTGCCCTTCTCGGTGGGTGACAAAAATTTTCACTTTCCACAGGGCAGCTCGCTACGATGAAACCCGGAGTACCGTTATTCGGGTTTGCTCCCCGCATCCGCTGAGCTGACGTTGAAGGACACCCCCGTTTGTCGTCGATTCGAACCGGAAAACTAGCACCAATCCGAAACGATTTTTCCTCACCGCACACGCAGAAGATTTTCCTCTCCAATGCAGTTTTTCCCGAGATTTTTTGTTGCTGCTGCTGCTGATGTGACGATGACGGTAGTATGACTGATTGATGATGGTGTCGTTTTGGTTTTTCTCGGCGAGAGCCGCGCGACTGATGGACTGACGACGAGGAAAAGTCCACCGTGGATGACAGATTTATAGGCTGTCAACAATCAACAAAAGGTGAAAACATGTTCCACACACGGCTGACAACAACAGTTACTGGTGCGAGGTGTATGAATGTGGCACAAAAAGTTGAGCATATCAGGCGTAACATTTCAGGCATAACATTTGATAACGGCACAAAAGCTTTTGTAAACAAACTTTCTAAGACCCCTTACACGCGAACCAAAGTATGCCCACGCAAACAAATAACATCATCGAATAGGGACAACTATCACCTTTCCAAAAGTGGTATTGGTTTGCGTTGGCATACTTTGGTTCGCGTGTAAAGGGCCTTAGAATGTTTGTTTACAAATGCTTTTGTGCCGATATCAAATGTTATGCCTGATTTGATAAAAAAAAGCATTTGTAGACAAACTTTCTAAATTCCTTTATTTATTTATTTATTTTATTTATTTATTTATTTCGTCAACCAACGTAGACTAGTACAATTAATACAGTTTTGTTTTCTTAAATATATATTTATATAAAAAAGTAGTGTCAGCTTTCTTGTCTTTTCTTTTATGAGTTGTTATTTCTTATGGAATAAAAATATTGCTTTAGTTTATGCCGAGACATTGTAAAGTCAATGGTTTCGCAGTGTTTATTGTAAGAGGCCATCATGCGGTTTAATCAACAATCAATACGAAACTAACGATTTTAAATTGGCTCACCACTTTAGTAGCCTATTGGTCCCAAGCAAACGATTAACGTACCCTATTCTAGTTGAAATTCTATTACTACACTATGTTTGTTTTGATTCGCTATGAAAGTTTGACAGATAACATCAGGGGTGTGTGGATTCATGCAGAACATGCAGGGGTGAGTGAAATAGCTTGGGACTGCTTGGGACCGTTGTTCTGGTACTGAGTGAGCCAAAAATAATAATGATTTTCTTCGGGACCCAGTGGTCTTAGAGTTACCTCTATGGTACTAGAGCAAAAGACAGCAATTTGTACCAGAACAGGTGTCAAAAGTGACACAGACAGCACAACTGCCAGCAAAAGCGCCAGCAAAAAAAAGCGCGGTACCCGCTGCCGTGGCAGTCAGATTGAGGTGTGTCATATCCGCGCCATCCGTTCAATCGTGAGCGAGTGCAGTTTATAATCGATCGTTATCTCAATTCATTCTTGGAGGATCATAAGTGCAACCCGAGGGGGACGACTCTATCTACGATGCAAAAAAGATTGTGTTTTGCTGTGGCTAGCTGCGCGCACGCTGAGTAGATAGAAAGAAGATTGATGACGATTCTGAAGATTTCCTGCAAAAGATTGATGAGCGATGCAAGTAGATGCGACAAATGAAAGAAGATTGTTTGAAGATTGATTCTCTAGTGTGAGATTTGTTGACCATCTAAACTTGAGATTTAGATGTGTCGCCCCCCTCGCTCTAAGACTAGAAGGTCCCGAAATAACGTGCTCAACTTTTTGGCTCAGCTCTGGTACTCTCTTCGGTCCTATGCTAATCGATTCACCTCTCGAAACATAGGAAAAACCAATAACCCCTCATTTTATCTGTCAAACTTTCATAGCGAATCAAAACAAACATTGCGTAGTACTAGAATTTCGACTAGAATGGGATATGTTAATCGTTTGCTTGGGACCAATAAGCTAGTCAAGTAGTGAGCCAATTTAAAATCTTTAGTTTCGTATTGATTGTTGGTATTACCACAAACGAAGTGACAGACGGAGCGGCTCGAAAACTTTGGTGACTAGCTTGCTATTTCAATTTTTCAGTGTACCACATGGCAACACCACTTCTACTGGATTCCCAACAAACAATTCACAGTCACAAATAAGCATACACATTGAATAAATGCTGCATAACAGTGTACAATGCTGAATAAAACAAGATGTCGAATTATGTGCTGAAAAAAGCTCATTGAGATCGATAGATGCGCCTTTATTCCGCCGTTTGCTCTGATATGATTAATTAACTTATTAAAAGCTTTATAAACGTTGACTGTCTTCCTGATTCAGAACCAGAAGTTTGATCTAATAACAAACTGAATAAGTGTAATTTTCACATACATTGTCGCTTTAATTCGACTGTTTTCAATTGCCTTAATAAAATGCTTTATTAGACGTCTTATAAATGTTTTCTAGCTCCATTATTAGATTTCATTGCATTGCTTTACAATACTGCTGTATAAAGGTGAATACAGTCAGCAAAATAGCTCTTATACCACTATGCGTCCACACAGCAAAAAAAGTTGTTGAATATTACATCGAAACTGCTGCAACCAGGTCAATCCATCGGTTGTGTAATATCACATTGTACGATGTACATCGATTTTGCGAACAAAATTACATGCATTGATGTAATATTGTATCTGCTTTTTGCTATTACATCATTATTTCATACATCAGCTTGAATTACGTTGATCAATATTACATTTTTTTTTGCTGTGCATGTTTTAGTTGAATGCTTTGTAAATGCTTTATAAACGACGTATTAGATTCATTATTCCACATCACTGCCCAAAAACAATTCAGAGTCACAAATAAGCATATATATTGAATAAATGCTTTATAACAGTGTGCAATGCTGAATAAAACGGGTTGTCAAATTATGTGCTCAGAAAACCTCATTGAGATCGATGATGCGCCTTTATTTCGCTGATTGCTCTGATTTGATTGATATAATTATTAAAATCTATACAAACGATGACTGTCTTCCTGATTCAACACCAGAAGTTTGATCTAATAACATACTGAATAAGTGTAATTTGCACATACATTGATGCTTTAATCCGACTGTTTCAATTGATTTAATAACATGCTTTATTATTGGCAAATCAAAGTTGGCACTCGTGGAGAATAGAAGAACTATGAAAGTGATGATGGTTTCAAAATTTTCCACGGGGAAGTATACGAGTGCAATCTTAAAATGCTTTTATTTTGTGAATGGAGCATTTTATTTAAATCTGGTTGGTGCTACGTTAGTAGAAAACTTCAGGACTACTCAATAGACATATAATACAGAAAACATAATTTCTTTTCAGATTTTTAGGTGTAAACATAGACTTCCGCTTTTCTACCACTGTAGCAGTAACCAGATTTAAATAAAATGCTCCATTTTCAAAATAAAAGCATTTTAAGATTGCACTCGTATACTTCCCCGTGGAAAATTTTGAAACCATCATCACTTTCATAGTTCTTCTATTCTCCACGAGTGCCAACTTTGATTTGCCAATACGTCTAATAATTGTTTTCTAGCTCCATTACTAGATTCCATTGCATTGCTTAACAATATTGCTGAAAAAAGGTGAATACAGTCAGCATAATAGCTCTTATTCCACTATGCGTCCATGTTTTAATTGCATGCTTTATAAATGCTTTACAAACGGCGTATTTATTCATTATTCCACAACAGTGATTCAGGCTAACAACAAAACGAAATTGGTAGCATAGTGGTTACCGTTTCCGCTTTCCAAGTAGAAGGTCGCGAGTTCAATCCCAGCCTCAACCCTTTTTTTATTTATGTTCTACTCCTAATTAATTTAAATCGTAATCATAAATCGTATTACTCACGACAACCAATTCATAGATCTATTGAAAAGAATAGCATCCTTTCCATCGAAATTAGATAGATGGAGAGGTAACGTTGGTCTAATGTTAAACAACTATGAATGAATTAATCATTCTCACATCTCCTTGAATTAGCTAGAGCTACGGCTGGAAGTGCTGATAGGTTTTCAGATTCAAGCTTTTATTGCTTATTTAGCTGCTCATATGATGTATTCTAGGATAGCTCAGATGGCAAGGCAAGCGGCTGGTGATCGGAAGGTCATGGTTCGAATCCCATTTAACGACATGTGTGTGTATGCATGTATGTATGTAATAAATTCGACAGAAATTAATGACACAGCAAAATCACTAACGAAAACACCCTGCTCGTGCCGTTCTTATTTTCGGATTAATTATCCCGTAGTTGAATAATCGTTTAATAAATGTATAATGATGTAATAATTAAACATTATTTCACATGAGAATCAAGCGTCTATATACACCTTTATACCATCACTGTTTAAGGAAGTACAGATGGTCTAATAAACGCTGAATAATCAAAAATTTGATCGAATAAGCTCTGTTACAACTTTTGTATGTCGAATAAAAGCTTCTCGACATACCTTATTCAACACCAAATATTTCGATGTTGTGGTTGAATAAATTCTCCAGATTTGTGTGAACAAAGCCTGAACAGAAGTTATTATTAAAAATAGTACAAGTATTATTAAGCATGAAGTGGAATAAAATCGTCAAGAAGTCGTTTCTTCAATAGGCAATTGTTTGTTGGGTTGTACCACATGGCAACACTGCTACTACTGGATTGTACACTGAAACAAATCGACATGTACCGTTTATTGGATCCATCTTATAACATAGCAATGTCAGCAGATTTATTCATTCTATGTGATGATTGATAGATTCCATTGGATTATCACTTAAAAACTATGACTGCGATATGGAATGATTTCTATCGTAATTTCACATACTTAGTACTTGATAATACTTTGCTTCGAACGTGGTTAGCGAAGGTAAGAAGTATATGAATATTGTCTGATATATCTAGAAACTAATGGAAAATCATATAAGTTTGCACTATGAGAAAATTCAGTAAAATATACCTGTTTTCATGATGAATATTGCTCACTAAAATATATATCTTATAAGATAATCATGTATATTTTATTGGAGTTGCTTTTACTGATTTTTGACGTTTGTTGATATGTCGCGTGTAAATATACATGTAGAAACTATTGGACTGTCATTTAACTTTGCAGTATAGGAAAACATGTATATCTCATTGTAATAGCTTGCTTTGATTTTTGACGTTTAAAGATTGTAAACAGATCTATCCCAATCATAAAATAGTCATATAGAAATGCCTTTTAAGAAATCCAACAGCAAGCATATGTTTTTGCATGTTTTTCTGGGATGAATATCG